CCGAGGGTTCGGATCCCACATACAGACCGGTTCCCACTCACTGGCTGAGCGAGGTGTGGGAGCAACACCGAGGGTTGCGATCCCGTTGCTGGTCCTGGTCCGGTACGGGCGCGACACTGAGGGTTGCGATCCGTTGCCGGACACGAAAAAAAGACAAAAAGGAAAAAAACAAACAAACAAAAAAAACTGGCGTTATTATTGGGAGTTTTCATAAAATATGTATATGAAATAAGATATACACATACGCTCTTTCCCAATCAACATTACAAATTCATATTTGTAATGAAACTGTTGATTTATCTAGTCACTGAGGCCCAAAGCTAGCCCAACATTTAAGAACATAGGATTGGAGTCAGACAGACTTGGGTTCAAATCCTGGCTCTCCAGTGTCTAATCTTTATCGAGTAACTCAACCTGTCTCTATGCCTCAGTTTCCTCATTTACAAAGTGAGGATCATAGTACCCACCTATTACAGGATTGCAAAAGCTTCTGACACTAACTGCCTGGAGATAGACCAAACTTCAAAGATTAAGCACAGAGTCTTCTAGAAGACTGTTTTTGCTTCACATACCAGCCACATGTTTGGGGGTACCACTATCTCCTTAGGTTCAGTAATTCACTAAAATGACTCATAGAACTCAGGAAAGCACTATACAGATGCTCCTCAACTTATAATGGGGTTACGTCCCTATAAACTCATTATATTTTGAAAATATTGTACCTCGATAATACATTTAATACACCCAACCTACCAAACATCATAGCTTAGCCTAGCCTACCATAAAAGTGCTCAGAACACTTGTGTTAGCCTACAATTGGGCAAAATCATCTAATACAAAGCTTATTTTATAGTACTAAAAATAAAAATTTTATAATAAAGTAAGAATAAGGAAAACAAAAGATCAAAATTTAGAATTCAAAGTACAGTATTTACTAAATGGGTATCACTTTTGCATCATCACAAAGTCAAAAAATCATAAGTAGAATCATTGTAAGTTGGGGACCATCTATACTTAAAATTATAGTTTTACTATAGCAAGAAAGGATACAAATTAGAACCAGCCAAAAGAAGAGACTCACAGGGTGTGGACTGTGAGGGTACCACACTCAATGCTTCTGGTATCCCCCTCCCTGTGGAATCAGGACACATCACCCTCTTGGTACATTTACACGTATCAGTGCACACAGAGCATTGTCAGCCAGGGATGCTCACACAAAATTTGGTGTCCAGACAGAGTCTTTATTGGGGTTTCATTCACAGGTGTGATTGGATCACTGGCCCTGTGATTGAGCTCAATCTCCATCCCATCTCTTCTCCCTAGAGGTTGGGCTGACCTCAACTGGCTCAAAGCCCTGATCCTTTAGGCACACGGTTCTGAGGTGGCCAGCCCCCACTCTGAGTCACCTTCTTAGCACATGCCTTTGGGGGTCACCATGAACAACAGGACACTCCTGTCACCTGAGAAATTTCAAGATTTGGAAGCTATCTCCCAGGAACAGGGGACAAAGGCCTGCCTAATTATTTATTAAACAACAGGGTTATTACAAGGCTTATCATCACATTACCTCAGGTCATCCATATGGAACACAGCATAGGATGACACTCAGGAAATGCTGACAGTTTTGTTAGAGTAGCGTAGCGCACAGCTGAGGAAGGCAGATGTTGAGTGCATTTGCCTTTAGCTTCTGCATGGTTCTGAAAGTGGCAGTGTGTTTGCTGACTGACTTTCGTTGCTTTATCATTCTGTCCATTTTCTGGATAAACAAATAAGTAATCTCTACCTCAATTTTACTAGTAACTGTGAAATTGATGACATGTCAGTACTTCAGTTTTCAGTTTATTTTCATACTCTGTGCTCAAATCTACTAATATTAATTTCAGCGTACTTTTTGTGTATTATAGTGAAATGAACAGAACACTATGTATTTAGATTAGTATGTTTCTTACAACTTTGTCGATTGCAAACTATACATTTATTCAAGCATATCTGTTATATTTTATATTGGACATTGTTTCTCTAAGGATAGCACTTTTCTGCGATTAGTTAGCATATTTTAATAAAATATGACCATATCATAAAGAATATTAATGGGTCTAGAGGTTAAGTTGATTGAGAGTAGTGAAACCTGAGATACAGTAGTCTTCCCTTATTTGGCGGAAATAAGTTCCAAGACCCCCAATGGATGCCTGAAACCGTGGATTGTACCGAACCCTCGATATACTGTTTTTTCTTATACATGCATACCTATGATGAAGTTTAATTTATAAATTAGGCATAATAAGAGATTAGCAACTAATAATAAAATAGAACAATTATAACAATATACTGTAATAAAAGTTATGTGAATATTTTTTCTCTCTGTCTCTCTCCAAATATCTTACTGTACAATACTCCTCCTTCAACTTCTTGTGATCACTGAGATGATAACCGAGATGGCTACTAAGTAACTAAAGGGTGGGTACAGCATGGATGCACTAGACAAAGGGATGATTCATGTCCCAGGCAGGATGGGGCTGGATGGAGCTGGATGCTGTGAGATTACATCATGCTACTCAGAATGGCACACAATTTAAAACTTATGAAGTGTAGTTTTGGAATTTTTCACTTAATATTTTTGGACTGCGGTTGACCACAGGTAACTGAAGTCACAGAGAACAAAACCACAGATAATGGGAAACTGCTGTAGTTTCTTTAAAGAGTTTGTGAATTACTATAAAACCGACGAACAACATCATTCTACCCTAGACTCCTCATCTATCTATAAAAGAATATTCTTGGCCTCTTACTCTCGGTAGTGGTGTTTTGGAAAAACTCAAGGATGAAAACAAGAAATTAATATAAGTACACTCTACCAGACTGCAGCTATCTCTTGTGGAAGAGTGGTGTGGTAGCAACTGCATCAACTGTTTTGGACCAGTAGCTAAGAGTATTTCCAGGTGTCTCCTGCAACTTACAGGAGACCACCAGGTCTGAGTGTCATCCTGAATGTCCAGTGTTACCCAAGGATAGTGCTTCAGCGGGGACATGTGGGCTTGCACCAGCCACCTTGGTTCAAGTCCCCACCTTATTATTTATTAACTGTTGCCTTTTGTTAAATTATCTAATCTCTCAAAACTTCAGTTCTTCATTGATAAAAAGGAAATAATAATAGTACTATATCAGGGAATGATTACAAGGAGTAAGTAATATAATGCATGTTAAAATTTTAGCAGATTCCTCATCCACAGTCAGCACAGTATAAATATTAGTGAGGCTGTTGATGAGCTCACTATTGTTGAGTTAATATAACAATAAAAGTTAAAAGCAGAACTAAAATAAGGCACCAATGTGAAATAGAGACCATTGTGCTTTAATGTGTAGAGAAATGAATGTTGGAAGAATATGAAAGTGCATATACAGATAATATGTAAAAACGTCAATACTTGATTTCAAAATAGTAAAATCTTTTATGTTTTCTTTAGCTCTATTTTTTGATTGTGTAACTTTTCATTTATAAAATCTTCGAGCCAATTACACATGAGAGATAATGAAATAGGTTATTTTTTTCTTTCCTCTTAATATTTTTCCATAAGTAAGTATTTGGTGACAGTACCAGTATGTTCTATTCTGGAAGAAACGTGTCTATTCTACTTCGCCCTTTCATCCATGAATGAGACAGAATGAGGGTAAAACTTTCATTGCCAAAACAGCTTTTTATTTTTCTTCCACTTTTTGTTCTCTTTGGGGTCTGTTACCCTCTGTTGCTCTCAGCAGAGATGCTATTGACAAGACAGAGGTGGAAAGATCTATGTTTTGACTCATTTGAGTCATAGTTATCAATACAGAATGTTATTTTTTATCTTCTGTTATTATAAAATATAATGCAGTTTTTACCATCTAGGCATACATCCCATTCGAACCCTTTTGAATCTTTTTGATCCCTTTTAACAGTTTGTGTAATGAAATCTAACATATATGTACACACACACAAAAACAAGGTACACAGAACAATGATGTACAGCTTGCTGATGTGTCACTGAGAAATCCCCATGTATTCATCACCCTGTTGTGGAAAGAGAATAACACTCCGTAAGCTGTGTATCCCTCCTCCTAGTGGTCACCACTCTATTGACTTTTATGCAAACTAATCACTTCCTTGCTTTTTAAAATATTATTTTACCGTTTAAGCATGCATCCCTAAACACTTTAATTTAGTGTTGCTCATTTTTTGAAATTTATATGAATAGATTCATACAATATTCTTTTTCTTTTGGCAGCTGGCCAGTACAGGGATATGAGCCCTTGACCTTGGTGTTACCAACACCGTGCTCTAACCACGTGGGCTAACCAGTTAGCCCTTCATATTTTTTTATGACTGACTTTCACTAGACATTAATAGTTTTCAGATTTTACCCTGTTGAGGTATTAGATATATTAATTTCTTTTTACTGCTGTAAGTATCCCATTCTAAGTAGAGATTGCAATTTATTTTTGATGTTGTTTCCAGTTTTTGACAGTGATGAGCAATGCTATTATGAACATTCTTGTAATATGGTAATAAGTACACATTTCTGGTATATATCTAGGAGTGGAGTTACCAGTAGAGAGGCCACGTATATTAGTTTATGCCTTTGTCCCAACATAATTATTTATATTACCTCTTTTATTTTGATGTATCTTAGACTCTTTTTATAATCATTTATGTATACAATATATATTATATGGTCACTCACATCCTGGGTCTTTTAACCTTGGTGCTGTTGACATTTGGAGGTATACAGTTCTTTGCTGGGGGCTGTCCTGTGCATTTTAGGATGTTTAGTAGCAACGCTGGGCCTTACCCAGTAGATGCCAATTGTGCTTCCCTCTCCCCAAGTTATGACAACGAAAAATGTCTTCAGACATTGCCAAATGCTCCCTTGGCATTCAGTACCACCCTTGTATTCCAGGAATAGATAGGGTGTGTGTATTTTGACTAGATAGCTGCCCAGTGGTTTTCCCGAGGGCCATTTCCTTCCCATTCCCATCAACAGTGTGCCAGCTCCTGTCACTGCACATTTCATTTGTGCATCATCAGTCTGTATAATATTAGTCTCTCTGGTGAGTATGTCGTGGTACCTCATTTGATTTTAATTTGCATTTCACTGATAATGAAGCTAGCATATTTTTATATGATTATTGGCCATTTGGATGTCTTCTTTTGTGGAATGCATGTTCAAGTCTCTTACTCATTTTTACTTTGCATCCAGTTGTCAGTTGATGGACATTTGGGACTTTTTCTTATTACTTTGTAGGAAGTGTTTATATATTCTGCTTATTTATGTCCTTTGTCAGTTCTGTGTTTTTCAGATATTTTCTGCACCTTTGTGGCTTTTGACTTTTCACTTTCCTAAAGATAGCTTGTAAGAAACAGAAATTCTGGATTATTATTAATGTAATCAATTCATTAATTTTTTAATCTATGGTTAGTTTTAAAATTTTTGTCCAGTTGAAGAAATCATTGTCTATCCCAAGGTGATTAAGATATTTTTCTATGTAGGAGCTATATTTTACCTTTCATAAAAAATCTACAGTATTAGGGTTGATTTTTGTGTATACTATAAGGATCAAGTTTCATTTTGGATATGGATATTGAGATGACCCAGCAGCATTTAATTGAAAGGATTCTCCATTCCCTACTGCTGTTTGCATGATGCCACCTTTTCATAAGCTGAGTGTCATTATATCTGTGGATTTTGGATGGAGAGATTTCTCTTCCATTAGTCTTTGTCCTTGTACCAGTTCCACTGGTGTAATTATTGTAACTTTATAATGTGTCTTGAGCAAGTTCCATCTTGTTCTTGTTTTTCAAGAGTGTTTCAACTATTTTTGACCCTTTTCATTTCCATGTAATTTTAGATTCAATTTGTTGTTTTATTTTTCAAAACATTCAGATTTTTTTTTTTTGTCTTTTCCGTGACCGGTAAGGGGATTGCAAACCTTGGTGTGGTGTCACCTGCACCACGCTCAGCCAGTGAGTGCACCGGTCATCCCTATATAGGATCCGAACCCGCGGCGGGAGCGTCGCTGCGCTCCCAGCGCCGCACTCTCCCGAGTGTGCCACGGGGCCGGCCCCAAAAATTCAGATTTTGATTGAGATTGAATTTAATCTATAGATCAGTTGATATTATTACAATATTGAATCATTCAATCAATGAACATTGTATATCCTATATATTTAGGTCTTGTATCATTTCTCTCAACAGTTTTTTAAAAAAACAACAGATTTACTGAGATATAATTAACAAACACAGAAGTTTATCTTTTTAAAGGGTACAACTCAGTGGTTTTTAGTATATTCATGAAGTTGTGTTTCCATTATCACCATCTTATTCCAGAACATTTTCATTACCCTAAAAAGAAACCCTGTACCCTTTGTAATTACTCTGCATTCTCTCCCTTCCTCCCAGCTCCTGGAAATCAGTACTCTACTTTCTGCCTTTAGAGATTTGCCAGTTATTGGTTTTTTATATGAGTAGAATCATGCAGTATGTGGTCTTTTGTCTCTTTCACTTACCATAATGTTCTCAAGGTTCATCCATGGGTAATATGTGTCAGAACTTCCTTATTTAAGGCTGAATAATTTTCCATTATGTGGAGCATATCCATTCATCAGTTCGTGGACATTTGGGTTGTTTTCTCAACAGTGATTTATAGTTTTCAGAAATAACATCTGCATAGAATTTGCAGAGATCTGAAATGGTGTTTTTTCCATGGTTCTGTTTCTGGTCAAATGTTTTTTTAGATTTATGATTAAGTATGTTGGAATGTAAGCTCTGTGAGGGCAGATGTTTTTGTTCATTTTGTTGAATGATCCAGCCTAAGTACCCAGACCAGTGCCTGTATCCTAGAAGGCAATCAGTAACATTCGTAGTATATTCTGCTCAATATTTCTGTAAACCTAGGACTGTTATAAAAATAAAGTCTATTACTTAGAAAAAAAAAATATTTGTAGTATATGTGAATGGATAGTCACAATAGTGATCCGTGTCGGGATGTGTGCTGTTTTAGAAAGAATGAGTATACAATTTGTGCAAGTTTTCTTATAACTTTGTCAAATGACCATCTTTATGTTTACAGATGGAGTGGTTCAATCGTTATAAAAAGTCCCTTGCTACTTATATGAGATCACTGGGAGGAGATGAAGGTTTGGACATTACACAGGATATGAAACCTCCGAAAAGCCTATATATTGAAGTATGTATACTTTTAAAAATACATTTTTTAAATGATTAGATTGTACAACCTTTTATCTAAGGAGAGAGGAGTATATAAATGTATATTAACTTCTATTAAAAAGGAAAGGAAGTATAAATCAAAACCAAAAAAGGTACCTATTGGGAAATGGCAGAATAGGATAGAACAGCTAAGATTTTCTGAATATACCTGTTTTAATATTTTGGACTTTGGAATCATGTAAATATTTTACCTATTATAAAAACAAAATTAAGTCAAAATAGAAAACCAATCCCTAAATTTTGAATGCAAAATGAAATAAATGAACCTGTCTTTCAAGTTGGTGGATTAGTCAAATTATTTGTTTAAAATTTACCATCTAAACCGTTTTCAAGTGTACAGTTTGGTGATATTAAATATTTTTGTAATGTTGTACAGCCATTACCACCATCCATGTCTAGATTTCTTTCCATCTTATAAAACTGAAACTCTATTCCCACTAAACCATAACTGCACGATTCCCTGTCATCCCTGGCAGCCACCATTCTGTCTGTCTCTATGATTTTGACTGCCATAAGTACCTCATATATATTTGTCTTTTTGGGACTGACTGGCTTATTTCACTTAGCATAATGCCCTTAAGGTTCATCCATGTTATAGCATATGTCAGAATTTCCTTTCTTTTTAAGGCTGAATAATATTCCTTTGTATGGATATACCACATTTTTCTTATCCATTTATCCACTGATAGACACCTGGGTTACTTCCATGTTTTAGCTATCATGATTAATCTGCTATGAACATGGGTGTACAAATATCTCTTTGAGACCCTGCTTTCAATTCTTTTGGGTGTATACCCAGAAGTGTAATTGCTGTATCGTATGGTAATACTATGTTTAAATTTTGAGGGACCATTATACTATTTTCCACAACAGATGTAGCATTTTACATTCCCACCAACAGTGCTCAATGGTTCTAATTTTTCCACATCCTCACCAACGCTTCTTATTTTTAAATCATAATCATACTAAAGGGTGTAAAATTATATCTCATTGTGGTTTTGACTTGCATTTCCCTAATGGTTAGTGATGTTGAGCATCTTTTTATGTGTTTATTAGCTATTCATATTTCTTCTTTGGAGAAACATCTATTTAGTTCCTTTACCCATTTTTGTTTTTTTTGTTTTGTTTTGTTTTTCCTTTTTTTTGTCTTTTTTCGTGTCCGGCAACGGATCGCAACCCTCGGTGCTGCGCCCGCACCTCGCTCAGCCAGTGAGTGGCCGGTCTGTATGTGGGATCCGAACCCTCGGCGGGAGCGCTGCCGCGCTCCCAAGCGGCGCACTGTAGCAGTGCGCCACCGGGCCGGCCGCTTTTACCCATTTTTGAATTGCATTGTTTATTTATTGATTGATTGATGTAGAGTTGTAGAAGTTCTGTCTATATTCTGGATATCAATCCCTTGGATAAATAATTTGCAAATACTTTCCCTCATTCTGTGGGTTGCCTTTTTATGCTCTTGATAGTGTCTTTTGATGCACAATATTTTTGAAATTTCATGCAGTTAATTTGTCTATTTTATTTTTTGTTGCATGTGCCTTTTCTCTCATATCCCAGAAATCACTGCCAGGTCCAGTGTTGTAAAGCTTTTAAGTGTTGTGTTGTTTTAGATCTCATGTTTAGGTCTTTTATCCATTTTGACTTAATTTTTTAATACGGTATTAGGTAATGGTACTTCTTCATTCTTTTTTTTTTTTTTTTTTTTGCGGCTGGCCTGTACGGGGATCCAAACCTGTGACCTTGGTGTTATAAGGCTGCACTTTAACTAGCTGAGCTAACCAGCCAGCCCTTACTTCATTCTTTTGCATGCAGTTATTCAGTTTTCCCAGCAGCATTTCTTGAAACAACTGTTCTTTCCCCATTCAGTGGTCTTGACAACCTTGTCAAAAATCATTTAATCATATATGCAAGGGTTTATTTTTGACTTCTCTATTCTATTCCCTTGCTCAATATTTCTGTCTTTATAGCAGAACTATGGTATATTGATTATTGTAGCTTTGTAGTAAGTTTTGAAATCAGGAAGTGTGAGTCTCTGCCTTTGTTCTTTTTCAAAATTATTTTGGCTATTTGAGGTCCCTTGAGACTCCATATGAATTGTAGGATGGGTTTTTCTATTTCTCCAAAATACACCTTTGGAATTTTGATAAGGATTGCATTAACTCTGTAGATTGCTTTTGGTAGTGTTGACATCTTCTTTTTTTTTTTTTTTTTCTTTTTTTTTTTTTTCGTGACTGGCAACGGTATCGCAACCCTCGGTGTCGCGCCCACACCGCGCTCAACCAGGGAGTGGACCGGCCTCTATATGAGATCCGAACCCTCGGCGGGAGCGCCACCGCACTCCCAAGTGCCGCACTCTACCGAGTGCGCCATTGGGCCAGCCCATAGTGTTGACATCTTAACATTAAGTTTTCCAATCCATGAACATGGGATGTGATCCCAATTATTGATGTTGTCTTTAATTTCAGTGTTGCTCTGAGATTTTTATTGTCCAAGTAGTCCACCTCCCTGGTCAAGTTAATTCCTAAGTATTTTATTCTTTTTCATACTACAGTAAATGGAATTACTTTTGTAATTTCCTTTTCAGATTGTTCGTTGTTAAGTATAGACATGGAACTGATTTTTGTGTGTTGACTATGTATCCTGATACTTTGCAGAATTCATTTAATTCTGAAAGTCTTTTTGTAGGATCTTTAGGTTTTCTACATATAAGATCATATTATCTACAAACAGATGATTTTAGTTCTTCCTTTTCAATTTAGATAACTTTAATTTCTTTTTCTTGCCTAACTACTCTGGCTATAACTTCCAGTTCTATATTGAATAAAAGTGGTGAAAGCAGGAATCCTTGCCCTTTTCCTGAACTTAGAGAAAAGCTTTCAATCTTTCACCACTGAGTACGATGTTTGCTGTGGATTTTTTATATATGGCTTTTATTATGTTGAGGTAGTATTCTTCTATTCCTAGTTTGTTGAGTATTTTTAATCATTACAGAGCGTTGAATTTTGTCAAATGCTTTTTCTGCATCAATAAAGATGATCATGTAGTTTTTTTCCTTCATTCTATTATTGTGGTATATTACACTTATCAGTTTTCATAACCTCAACCACCCTTGTATTCCAGGAATAGATCCCAATTGACCCCAAAAGAGCGAGTAACACTTTTAATATGCTGCTGAATTTAGTTTGCTACTATTGTGTTGAGGTTTTTTGCATTCATGTTCATAAGGGATAATGGTTTGTATTTTTCTTATAGTGTTTTTCTGGTTTTGGTATTAGGGTAATGCAGCCTCATTAAATAAGTTAGGAAGTGTTATCTCCTCTTTAGTGTTTTGGAAAAGTTTGAGAAGGATTGGTTTTCATTCTTCTTTACATGTTTGGTAGAATTCATCAGTGAAGCCATCCTTTTCTTTTGTTGAGGTATTTTTGAATACCAGTTAAATCTCCTTTCTATCTCTATTAGTCCATTTTCTGTTGCTTATAACAGAATACCTGAAACTGGATAATGTATAAAGAAGTAAAATTTATTTCTTAGTTTTGGAGGCTGGGAAGTCCCAGGTCCAGGGGGCACATCTGGTGAGAGCCTTCTCTTGTCTAGGTCATACAATTCGTTGGTGTATAATTGTTTGTAGTACTCTCTTACAATCCTTTTTATTTCTGTAGAATTCACAGTAACGTCCCCACTTTTGTTTCTCATTTTGCAGTTTGAATTTCTTTCTTTTTTTCTTGTCCATCTAGCTAAAGATTTATCAATTTCGTTGACCTTTTCAATGAGCCAACTTTTAGTTTCATTGATTTTCTTCATTTTTTTTTTTTTCTGTTTTCTATTTTGTTTATCTCTGCTCTAATTATTATTTCCTTTCTTCTTCTAGCTTTGGGTATAGCTTTTCTTTTTTTCTAGTTCCTTAAGGTATAAAGTTAGGTTGTTCATTTGAAATCTTTCTTGTTTTTTAAGTGGGCATTTATATCTATAAATTTTTCACTTAGCACTGCTTTTGCTGCATCCTATAAATTTTGATATGTTGTGTTTTTGTTTTCATTCATCTCTAAGTATTTTCTAATTTTCCTTGTGATTTCTTCTTTCATCCATTGTTTGTTTAAGAGTGTGTTATTTAATTTCACAAATGTGTGAATTTTCCAGTTTTACTTCTGGTTTTGATTTCTAACTCCATCTTGTTGTGGTTGGAGAAAATACTTTTCTTTTTAAACCTATTGAGACTTAATTTCTGGCCTAGCATAGTCTATCCTGGAAAATGTCCCATGTGCACTTATGAAGAATGTGTATGCTGTTGTCATTGGGTAACATGTCCTGTATATGTCTGTTATATATAGGTGGTTTTTGTTTTAAGTCTTCTATTTCCTTATCTATCTTCTGTCTGATTGTTCTATTATTGAGAGTGGGTATTGAAGTCTCCAACTAATATTGTCTATTTCTCCCTTTAATACTGTCAGTTTTTGCTTCACGTATTTTGATGAAGTGTTATTAGATGTGTAAATGTTTATAATTGTTATATCTTCTTGCTGTATTAAATCTTTTATTAACGTATAGTGTCCTTATTTGTCTCTTGTAAGCTCTTTTGATTTAAAGTCTATTTTGTCTCATATTAGTATAGCCACTCCTATTCTCTTTTGGCAATTATTTGCATGGAATATCTTCTTCCATCCTTTGACTTTCAGTCTAATTCTGTCTGGGTCTACAGTGGGTCTCTTGTAGAAAACATAGTTGGACCATGTTATTAATTCATCCTACCAATCTCTGTCTTTTAATTGAATAATTTAATTCACTTACCTTAAAAGTAATTACTGATAAGGAGAGACTTCTGTCATTTTGCTGTTTGTTTTCTATATGCCTTGTGACTTTTTTCTCCCTCATTTCCTGCATTACTATCTTTTGTATTTAGTTGATTTTTTTGTGTGAAACATTAAAATTCATTTCTCCTTTTCTTTGTGTATATTCTATAGCTATTTTCTTTGTGGTTAAAATGGGGAATATATTTAATATCCTAAAGTTATAACATTCTAATTTGAATTTTTAGCAGCTTAATTTCAATAACAAAATTACAAATACAAAAATTCTGGTCCTTTAAAGTTTTATCCCTACTTCTTTTGATTGTTATTACAAAATTACATTTTTATACGTTGTCCCCAAACATAAACTAGTGAATCTCCTAAATGCATTAGTGTCTTAAATTATGTAGAAAACAAAGTGTGGAGTTACAAACCAAAGTTACAATAATACTTGCTTTTAGACTAAAAATTGTGTATTTTTAAAATTTATTTGTTTCTTAAATCATGTGAACAATAAATATTGGAGTTACAAAATGTTGTTACAGTAATACAGTGCCACATAATGACATTTTGGTCAATGATGGACTGCATATGTGACGGTGGTCCCATAAGATTTGAACAGAGCTGAAAACTTTCCATTGCTTAATGACATAGCAAGCCATCATAACCTCATAGTGCAGCACATTACTCATGTAGTTATAGTGATGCTGGTGTAAACAAAGCAACTGCACTGCCACTTGTATAAAAGCGTAGCACATACAATTCTATAAAGTATATAATACTTGATAATGAGTGATCGAGTTTGGATATGTTGTCCCCACCAAAACTAATGTGGAAGTCCGATCCCTACTGTGGCGGTGTTGGAAACTGATTGAGTCATGGGGGAAGATCCCTCATGAATGGATTAATGCTCTCCCTGGGTCAGGGGAGTAATGAGTGAGTTTTCGCTCTATTAATTCCTGCGAGAGGTGGTTGTTTATATGACCCTGGCACCTCCTCTCTCTCTTGTTCTCTTGCTTCCTCTTGCCATGTGATCTGCTTGTACCCGCCGGCTGCCTGCCACTTTCTGCCATGAGTAGAAGCAGCCTGAGGCCTGTGCTAGATGCAGCTGTCCCAAAATCATAAGCCAAATAAACCTCTGTTTTTCATTATAAATTACCCAGTCTAAGGTAGTTCTGTTATAGCAACACAAAAAGGACTAATACAATGATAACTACAAGGGTACATCAAAAAGTTTGTAGAAAAATAGAAATAAAAGTTTATACAAATCTTTCCTGAACTTTTCGAAGTACCTGTGTATATTTCTGGTTTACGTATTTGCTGTACTATACAAATCATAAAGCCTGAGGCCTGTGCTAGATGCAGCTGTCCCAAAATCATAAGCCAAATAAACCTCTGTTTTTCATTATAAATTACCCAGTCTAAGGTAGTTCTGTTATAGCAACACAAAAAGGACTAATACAATGATAACTACAAGGGTACATCAAAAAGTTTGTAGAAAAATAGAAATAAAAGTTTATACAAATCTTTCCTGAACTTTTCGAAGTACCTGTGTATATTTCTGGTTTACGTATTTGCTGTACTATACTTTCTATTATTGTATTTTAGAGTGTACGTACTATGGTTTGACTATCCCTCCAAAACTCACATTGGAACTTAATACCCAATGTAATGGTATTATGAGGGTGGGGAAAACAACTGTGGTATTTAAAAGGGGGCCTTCAAGAGGTGACTGGATCAGGAGGGCTCTGCTCTCATGAATGGATTAACCCATTCATGGATTAATGTGTTGTCATGGGAGTGGCACTTGTGGCTTTTTAAAAGGAGAAAGACCTGAGTCAGCCACGAACCCTCTTTTGCTCTCTCACCATGTGATGTTCTGCCCTGCCTTGGGACTCTGTAGAGAGTCTGCCCTCACTATATGTGCCCTGTTGACCTTGGACTTCCCAGCCTCCAAAACTGTAAGAAAGAAATTCCATTTCTTTATAAATTACCCAATTTTTAGGTATTCTGTTAGAAGTGACAGAAAAGGGACTAAAACTATACTCCTTGTCTTTGTTTTTTAAAAAGTTTACTGTAAAACAGTTATATCAACTAGTAGGTCTCGTCGTGGTTACTGTTTCTCTTGACTGCATCATTTTCTCTTGTGCTTATTTAATTGTGTTGTTTTGTTTATCATCATCCCTATAATGTTATATAATCCACTGCTAATGTTGCCAGTTGGAGGCCACATTGAGTGATTGACCTGGAAATGAAATTAAAGATGATTAAGGACTATGAAGGGGGAAAATCAGTGATGATTATTGCTCACCAGGTAGGCATGTCCCATTTCACCATAGCTACAATCCTGAAGAATAAGAACAAAGTGATGGGAGCTGTTAAAAGATCTGCTTCGCTGAAGGCAACAAGATATAACACAAATTTGAGAAGGGCCTATTATCAAATATATCTAATGACCTGGATTGAAGACCAGACACAGATGTGTATCCCTCTTAGCACCGTGATGATCACAGCCAAAGCAAAAAGTTTGTAATGATGTTGAAGGAAAAGGCTGGACCCAGCTACAATGTTGAATTTACTGCTAGCTCTGGGTGATTTTTAAATGATTCAAGAATTGTTATTCATTATGTAATGTGAAGGTGAGTAATGAGTGTGAGTGCTAATGTTAAGGCAGCTGAAGAATTTTTGGAAACTGTAGATAAGCTGATTGTGGAGGAAAATTAGTTGCCAGAGCAAATCTTCAATATGGTTGAAGCCTTCCTATTCTAGAGATAGATGCATGAGGACTTTCATCCATAAGGATGACAAGTCAGTGTCAGGTTTCAAGGCTTTTAAGGACCCAGTAACAGTCTTGCTTGGGGGCAGTGTTTCAGGCTGCAAAGTGAAACCCTTTGTGATCTGGCACAGTGAGAATCCCAGGGTCTTCAAGTATATTAAAAAGCACACATTGCCTGTGTACTGCAAGAGCAGTAAGAAGTCATGGATAACCCAGCTTCTGTTCCAAGATACCCTACTGCATTGCTATGCCAGTGAAATGGAGAAGTACTATTTGGAGAATAACAACTTTTATTGTTGATAATGCTTCTGCACATCTTCCTTTTATTGGTGATCTTCATCCCAATATCAAAGTGGTGTTTCTTCCTCCAAAGACGCCTCTTAGATCCAACCAATGAAGCTTTTAAGATGTACTACCTGAGGAAGTAGGCTGTGGAAGACACTGTGAAGACACTGCTGCAATTCTGTATCAAGAGCCTTGCTAAAGCTTGGGGTGTTGTCACAAGAAGTGTATGAATGGCATCTGGAGGAAAACACTGAAGAGATTCATCCATGACTTCAAAGGATTTTGCCAATGATGATGAGGTTGCAAAAGTCAAGAAGGTAGTGGTTGAGATGGCAAACAACTTTAACCTGGGTGTGGATGAGGATGACATTGAGGGACTCCTAGTGGTGGTTCCTGAGGAATTCATGAATGAGGAGATGTTGGAACTGGAAAAGGAATGCATACCTGACTACGAGGCAAGAGAAAAGGAAACTATAGGAGGAGGATAAGAAGAATGCCTAAGAAAATTCCCAGTGAAGGGTTTAGCGGAAGCTTTTGCAGACCTCAACAAGCTCCTTTAAAAGTTTGAAAACATGTACCCTAACACTGAAATGTTCTCATTAATAGAGAGAAATTTTCATTATCTATTATCTGCTTACAGGACATATTTCTGAAAACAGTGACACCCACCTCAAGAAGGGCCTCAGGCCTTCAACAGGTGTTCCAGAAAAAGGCATTGCTATCATGGGAGATGACAGCTCCACGTGTGTTATTGTCCCTATAGACCTTCCAGTGGGACAAGATGTGGAGGTGGAGGACAGTGATATTGATGATCCTGACCCTGATAGGCCTAGGCTAGTGTGGGTGTTTGGGTCTTGGTTTTTAATGAAAACACTTAAAAAGTAAAAAAATAAAATATTTTAAAAATAGGAAAAACTTATAGAATAATGATGTAAAGAAAGGAATGTTTTTGTACAGCTGAACAATGTGTTTGTCTTTTAAGCTAAGTGTTCTTACAAAAGAGTCAAAGAGTTCTCTTTCTTGCTATTTTGTCTTTGGAAAGTTTGATTATGTGTCTAAATTTGGGTCTCTTTAAGATTATCTTGAAGTTTGTTGAGTTTCTTGGATGTTTGTATTTATGTCTTATTAAGAAAACTTAGGAAATTTTCAGCTATTATATTTTCAAAGACTCTCTCCCTTTGTCTTTCCCCTTCTGGGACTTCCACAATGTGTATGTTGACTCACTTGATGGTGTCCCACAGGTCTCTTAGGCTCTCTCCTTTTCTTCAGCCTTTTTTCTTCCTGTTCCTCAGACTCAATTGTTTATGTTATTCTGTCTTCAAGTTTGCTTATTCTTTTGCCTGCTCAAATCTGCCTTCGAATCCCTCTGGCCAGTTTTTTATTTCAGTTATTATAGTTTTCAGCTCCAGAATATCTTTTTAGTCTTTTTAGATTTTCTGTCTCTTTCTTGATATTTTTGTTTTGTTTCTGTGTATTTTCTTAACTTTCTCCATATCTTCCTTTACTTTGGTGAGCATCATTAAGACAGTTATTTATTTATTTATTTTTTTCCCTTTTTTTTTGTCTTTTTTCGTGACCGGCAACGGATCGCAACCCTCAGTGTTGCGCCGGTACCAGACCGGGACCGGCACGGGATCGCAACCCTCGGTGTTGCACCCGCACCTCGCTCAGCCAGTGAGCGGCCGGTCTGTATGTGGGATCCGAACCCTCGGGCAGGAGCGCCGCCGCGCTTCCCAAGCGGCGCACCATCCAGTGCGCCACCGGGCCGGCCCACTGTTTTTATTTTTCTGATTGTTGTAGGCTGTGTCTGTGCCAAGGATCAGCCTGAAGTGTAATCTTCTCAAGTCTTTTCTGAGCCTGTGCCTGCCTTTCCCTAGGCATGCACAGTAACTTTCTAATTTCTCCTATAAGTGCAGTTGCTTTTGAATGTCATAGTCTTTAATGTCTGACTCCCAAAAGGGGAATAAGAGAAAAATAAAGTGGATAGGAGAATGGGTGCTGGTTCTTTAAATCCCCTGGGAATCACTTCTGCTGGAGGGAGAGGGGCTTGCAGCAGTTGGGGGAGATGCAACAACAGTGGCTGCCCACCTCATTGCTGCACCTCTGTGATGAGAAACATCAGTCAGCAGTCAGAGCACAGGTTCTTTTGCCCACCATGTTCCTGCAGCCCATGTACCAGTTGCCCCAGAAATACATGCACAGCTCCCTGTCATGGGGTTGGGGGCAGGGGATGGGTAGCTACTATTGTGCCAAGAGCTGAAATTGACTGAAATTAACCACAACTTACTGGCCAACTGACCAAGCCTCCTCCTGGAAGATCCCAGAGTTCCAAAATAGTATATCAGGCAGAGTCTGCCAGTGCAATTGTTGTTGAAGTGGGGAAACAGATTCCTGATACCTCCTACTCTGCCATCTTCCCAGAATCTAGGAATTATTTTAATTATTTCAAAACATAAATTGATTGTTTATCCCTAGTGGATATGTTCTAAGGTCAAAGGAATTGCAAAGAGATCTTAACTTGTTTTTATTAATCATATTGTTAGTAATAATATTGTTACTGATATTTTAAAATAGTTTACATATTGAAGAATAGAGCAAATAGGTAATGTGAGTAAGGAACCAACATTTTTCAAAATAAAAGATATTCAGATAGGGCCGGCCCGGTGGCGCACTGGATAGTGTGCTGCTTGGGAAGCGCGGCGGCGCTCCCGTCCGAGGGTTCGGATCCCACATAC